ACGGTTTCTCAGGGCCAGGGAATTGGCAGACCCCCCCAGGCCGAATGGGACTGCGGCGCCGTGGATTAACTAAAAATCGTATGGCCATGGCGAGCTCACTGAGAACCGCGATGAGGACACACCCAGCACAGGGGAAGGGGGCCTCAGGTTGGAGCCGAGCTCCCAGCGAGCAGCAGGGGGGGCAGCACAAGGAGAACGGGCGCGTAGTCAATGGACTAAGGCAAAGTTGGGGGGCTGAGCCCAGTAGTGGGGGCGGGGCAGCGAGCGGGCTGAAGGAAAACCAAAAGCTGAGACACAGGGAAGCGCCCCGAATGGCCGAGAGGGCCGCCCAACTTCGCCAGGGATATCTTTAATGTGGGAAGGCATAAAAAGTGGGAAGAGGACAACCGTGGCTCTCTTCTCCTGAAGTCGGCGAGCGACGCAGCCAGCCTTCCAGCCGCTCGAGCGTCCGAGTGACGCTGACGAGCGCAGCTCGGACACGACCCAGGGAGGGACCGCCTGGACCCTCGTCCTTCCAACTCCCAGCACGTCCGTGAGAAATCGTGAGCACGTAAGAGGGGTGAGGGATAGTGTGAGGGCTCCCAGAGAGCTTAGTTAGAGATAGGTGAGGAGGGTGGGGTACAGCTGGGATGCTGCTCGCTGGATGGTTTTGGCTCTGGGCCACGCAAGGTTTGCTTACAGTCGCGCCAGTAATAAACTTTTGCCTAGAACACCGACGTCGTGTGATTTCTGTGTGGAGAAAGCGTCGGCGTGGTGTGTAATTTGAGCTTGGGGGCGAGTGAAGCTGTGCTGCGTGGTACACGGTGCATGTTTATTCATACAGCAATATTGTAGCGCGTGCACGTGGTGGGCAACGAGTACGTGTGGCTGTGCGTGCACGTGGTGGGCAGCAGGTCCGGGTGTGCGCACGCCCGCAGCCCCCGCAGCGTGAGTGGTGGTTTACACGGGGGGTGGGAGGCAGAATAACGTGAGGCGGTGGAGAGACAGCTCCGAGCCATGTCCCACAGAGAGGACGCTGGTGGTGCGGGGAGGCCGATGACTCGATCGGCGGCAGCCCGGCGTGAAGGTGAGTAGGTCCAAGCGGGAGAGGAGGAGGGGGGCATAAGCCCCCACAAAATATCTATTGTCCTGAATTATCCTTAGGTTCAATAATTCAACACAAACTTCTATAATTCCATTATTCATCAAGTTTCACATGCTTATTCCAGATGTATAGAAATTATGTATGGATAGCAGTGATTTTTAATAAGAACATGCTAAAGTAATTTCAAACTGTTTGACCCTGGGCTGCATTGTCTTGTAGTGGTACATCCTCGAACACACGTTAAAGTTTCATACCTTGATGTTAAAGAATATTCATATACAGTGGGTGTCATTTTTAACGTTTCAACTCTTGAAACGCAAAGACTAATTAGAGAATCAATTGAAATTGAGAGAAATACAAATAACTTTAATCGCTCTGACAGCTACAGGCTTAGTGCGGCCTGGAAGCGTATTATTAAATAAAATATATAATACAATTACAATTCCTTATAAGGGAAACAAATACCAATGAATAACAATTGAATGATTACCGATCTATTATATAATTACAATACCCTCCCCCTCTGCCTCAAATCACTGCACCTGAACGAATTAAATTATGACGTCACCCAGCTGCTGGTCTATTTCAGTCTGGGAGCAAGAGGAGAGCCTCACTGTTCTGGCAAATTGCCCGATGAAGCTGGATGTAATTACCAGCGAAACGTCGTACTTAAATTTTAAATGATGTTGATTCAATTTCGATTTAAAGCTTTCGTGACTGCAAGGATTCATCTTCTTTGGTTCTTTCGGTAAAGTCACGTAGAATGAGAATAAAATAATAAGTTAATAAAATAACACAAAATTCTCACGACGTTTTGGCCACAACACAAGCGGCCTTCATCAGGTGAAGGGACCAGACTGTCTGGAGGACAGCGCTGGAGCGAACACAGCCAAGCTCAGACCGCGACCTTTAAGCTGTGTGAGAAGAAACAGAGCACCTTGACAAATGAATTAGCATAAAAATTAGCATTTAATTGGCGGACTTAGCATGATGAACGGTGTAGAGGGGGTGAACATGTGCAGACCGGCGAGGGGGGGCGGGGGAGTTTACATGTTGATGGTGTGAAAAGGGAATTAAAGCTGCTGCAAAAGTTTGGGATACCACTACTTGAAAAAATATACTGTACCATTGAAAATTAGTTTAATGTTTGGTTCGGATAATTTAGCATTGAAATAGCTGCGTGATTAGCTTGTGACTGGTCACAGAAATGGCTATGTTAAAGTCAAAGCCTACACATCCACAGAGGCACCTAGTACAAATCAAACAGGAGAATTTAGCATTGAAATAACTGAGTGATTAGCTTGTGACTGGTCATAGAAATAGCTATGTTAAAATCAAAGCCTACACATCCACAGAGGCACCTAGTACAAATCAAACAGGAGAATTTAGCATTGAAATAGCTGAGTGATTAGCTTGTGACTGGTCACAGAAATGGCTATGTTAAAGTCAAAGCCTACACATCCACAGAGGCACCTAGCTTAAAGGTCGTGGTCTGAGCTTGGCTGTGTTCGCTCCAGCGCTGTCCTCCAGACAGTCTCGTCCCTTCACCTGATGAAGGCCACTTGTGTTGTGGCCGAAACGTCGTGAGAATTTTATTTTTTATTAATTTATTATTTTATTCTCATTCTACGTGACTTTACCGAAAGAACCAAAGAAGATGATGTTGATTCACTCTTTAATACACCGGTGGGCTAAAGTAGTGAACTATTTGTCCTTTGTAAACGTGACATTTTTACTGTTTGGCCGTATCGGGTGGTGGAGGGTTACAACACATTTATAAATAACGCAATCTAACCCAAAAACCTCTATTATGAATATTGGCCACGAAAGCCTACGTGGTAAACTTGTTAAATGTAAGTGTAACCTTTGTCAAATATCCACTGAATGTAACATTTAACACTTACACGCATAGTATTACAACTTTATGGAGCATTAAAATCAATTTTCAGGAGTCATATTTAATTTGCAACATGGACCAAATATAATCTATAATGCAAATTATATACATGAATTCGTTCTTTGTAATCACGGTATGTTGTACCATTCTGTAGCATGTATAAACTGTATCAGGGTTCATGATACAAAGCATGATTTATTTAATTGTGAGAAGTGTATACCTGTAATATGGCGCTTCAGAGGCAAAATATTTTACTTTATTAATATGCGCTTTTACCCAGGAAAGCCTCACCTGAGTCGTCTTTTCAGGAAGGTCTTGCCAAGTTATTGCAGCAGGGGGCGATGTTGCTATGTTTAATACTAATTGAGAAATCGTCAGGAAGTTTGGCTGAGACCAGTTATGGGAGGACATCAAGAGAATAAAGTGTTGTCACTTCACCACCCTCAAACATTGGTCGATCACACATTTGTGGAAGTGCTCAACCCATTGGTCTGTGAAGTCAAATCAACGACTGGCGGGCCGTATACTCATTGGTGCATGTTTCGGTTTGCTCAAAAATTCAAGCTAATGGTTTGAGTTAAACAAAAACTTTTGAATTTTTTTATCGGATTGTTTCCATACGATCAAGACCCGTTAAACAAAACCTGTGCACCCATATTACACACGATACCACTGGTGAATTTATACGCCATTAATTTAGAAATGACCAGTGAGCTGACCAATGTAAAATAAACTCTGGGTAGTTATGTATCTGTCAGTTTCTCAATCGTAAGTCCGGCTAAAAATGTTGCAGGTGACAGATTCGCTGATCCTTTTATTGAATGCGAGTAATTTCTTATTTTGTGTATATACCTACATGTTAAACAGTGTTTTCCTACTCAAATAAGCATGGAATTCTACTCACCTCACACCACAAACCCTGACCCACTGATGGAAATACAAATTCAGATGTGGCCAAGTAATAATTACATTAGACTTCTTAAATATGCTAAACCTATAACACATCATTACTTTAACACGTAGGCTTTCGTGACCAATATCATCCATAAGAGGTTTTTGGGTTAGATCGCGTAAATGTCGTTATAACCCGCCACCACCCGACACAGCCAACTAGTAAGGGTTGTCACGTAAACAGAACATGCCAATTCGTCACTAGTACAACACACCGGTGTGTTGGACAGCCAAGCCACAAAATTTACAAACTGTTTCGCCAGTAATTACAACTTGCTTCATCAGGCAACAGCCAGATTTGTAAAGTCTTACTGTTTCATTCCTTATATAGAGGCGTAGGTCTGTTGACCACGCAGCTGCGCTCTTGCACAATGTGAGGTGGGTGGGGGATTACTGAGGCAACGTAAATTATGGATGTGCATTCTGCGAGCCCTTTGAACTTGTCCTTCCTATTGTTTATTAAAATAGCCCTACCAACGGTAATCCCTATACCGTCTTAGCTACCGTATTAGTGCTGCGTGGAAGCGAATCATCAAATAATACATGATTTCAATGCATGCCTACAAAGGGCAGCGTACTTCAATAGGGATTACTGTTAGTAGGGCTATTTTAATAAACACAATAGACAGGAAGGACAAGTTCAAAGGGCTCGCAAAATGCACATACACAATGTGTGTTGCTTCAGTAATCCCCCCCCCCCACATTGTGCAAAAGCGCAGAAGGGTGGTCAACACATCTACGCCTCTATATAAGGAACAAAACAGTAAGACTTCTCCACAAATCTGGCTGTCGCCTGATGAAGCTAGTTGTAATTACTAGCGAAACGTCGTACTCAGTTTGTAAATGTTGTGGCTTGGCTCTCCAATACACCGGTGTGCTGTACTAGTGACGAATTGGCCACGTTCTGTTTAAGTGGCAACCCTTAGTAGTTGGCTGTGTCGGGTGGTGGCGGGTTTTAACGACACATTTACATATTTACGCCATCTAACCCAAAAACCTCTATGGACCTCATTACTTGTGAGAAATAAATCACGCATGGTTAATCGAATAAAGACAATTTCACAAGCATTGTTGAACAGATATATTTTAATGAACAAAGTGCTTGCTCTCTATTGCAGTTACAAAGGTAAATGGAAAGCAGAATTGTGAACACAATGTGACTGCCATCAAGTGAGATTACAGCTGAGGTTAGGGATAAGCCTAGGATAAGGATAGGGTTAGGGGTTAAATATTACGTCTAGGGTTCAGGATTAGGGTAAGGGCAAAGGTCATTATTATGTTTTAGCAGAAACATGAGTAACCTATGAATTCAACCACCCAAGATCATAAGATTCAAAAAGATCTAAAATCACGAAATTAAACCGAGCATGTCAGTGACATGAAGATCACTACGACACTCCTCGAGAGTGCCTCTCTCCACGGAACAATAGTGAATTATTCGGCTCAGCCTGTGGCCACAGCGGGGCTTTTCCAGGCCAAGTGTCATGGGTCTCGTCACCAAGGTGAACATGATTCGACTCCTACAGCCACTGCCATGTTCACACAAAAAACGAGTTCACTACCTCCACCGTGCTGCACGGAGAGAGGGAGTCTGTGTACTCAACTACCAAGGCCCCAATCTGTACACTTACATTTACACATCTTCATGTACACACATGTATAAAGACAAATATCTGCTGTATAGCCTTAACAGACTGTTGGGGCAAGTACTGTTATAGCAAGTACCTAAGAAGGACAAAAGGGCACATGAGGGGGTGCCGTGGATAACACCATACTCGGCCGTCTTTTTTTCTCCGGTGCTAATGTTTACATACTGCACCACCGAGTGCTCATTTAAGGCCGAGTCCATGTAGGAGAGGCCCAGGACTTGTTCAGATGTCTCCGATGTTTGTTTGTTAGCGGGACTCGAACTCAGGTTGCTGGGTTTGTAGCACAGCGTGCCAACCACTACATTACTGCTCCATATACATGCACGTCGACACACAAAAACATTATTTTATAGTTGGTCATGAGTAAAGGTAATTCTAAAGAAGTCCAGCATGCTCGAAAGTTGTAAGTTAATACATATATTCAAGTCTATGTTTACAACTAGAAACATCGAAATGCACGAGAACAATATTTTTCGTTCCTTAAGAAAAGGCTAGAGCTGGAGGTTTTTTTTAACGATGCTAAATCAAAATACCATGTTTTATTATTAATGACTCAAACTCCCAAGGAAACTTTGTAAGTGTCAGAAGGTAAAGCTTCATCACAGTGGACAAAGCCCTATCACTACTAACGGTGTATATAGATGCATGTGGTAGATGCATGTGGTGACAGCAGCAGAATGTCTACTTCAGGCAAACCAGGTTCCACAACTAAAACAGCTCTTGCAATGTATCATCCAGTCCCCAGCACTTCGAAAATACTACACGTCTATGTATTCAGAATGTGCAGCCTTTTATTAATTGGCATCTAACAGGATTATATGGTCTGCAGCATGAAACTTTTAGGCAGGAAACGTGTAAATCAGATGACCCGCAATTTAAGGACTTGCTTTACCTGCTACAACAACCTGCCCTTCATGATTGTCTTTCAAACACATGCACACATACATCGGACATTATGTCCCACTCCTGAAACATCCAGTCAATACATAAAACACACATACCATGTGTGCACACAATGGGGCCAACATAATCATTTGAAAACGAGAATAAACTTGTCACAGGAAGGTTAAGATGTGAAATGATGATTGTCTAATATTGCAATATATGTTTTAAGGTGTAAGTCAGTCATTGGACTCCTTGCTCAAGTACTCATCTCCATTAGCCACTCAAAGCCAGCAGTAGAAATTCCATAATGTTATGGCGAGGTCCTATGCTTGGTTGAATATGGAGTTTGGTTAGTGACATCGTAACATTTCGTTTTCAAAACTTTCTGACTTCATCTCTCACAGTTGTATTCTTAGTCACGGCTAAGCTCAGACTTGAGTATGGTCCCAGCCATGCTCTGGATTTCATTGCGCCGAGACACCCCATAATGGAGCTGCTCCCGCAATTGTGAAAGCATCAAAGCAGCTCCAGCCTGCGCTGAACAATGTTAACAGACCAGCCAGAGCCGAGCCGTGACAAAGCATACAGGCCTTAGGGTTGTACAGCAGACACTCCTCCGTCTCACTCCTTCTCCACTAAATCCTCCACCTCGACTGCATCATCCAGTAGATAAGTGGAGGACGAGCGGAGAGAGTTTAACCTCATCCTCCTCCAGAAGCCGGGCCACGTCGCCCGGGTCGCCACAAACACGTGGGCCCACCTCCTCCTGACAGCGGAGAGTAATCTGAGGTATAAAAACAGTGACACACACAGTGAGAAATACTAGATCCCACATATAGCCTTTAACACACTTGGGGCAAGCGCTATTTACGAGCACGTAAGGTCAGCACAGTACACAAGGTAGTGGGTGGCCAGCAGCACCACGCTCAACCTCTATTGTCATCCCAATGCGAATGTTTAAACGCCCACAAAAGGTACTCGTTAAAGGCTAAAATCAACTTAGAGAGGCTCATGACCGGTTCAGATATTCATCGCCGATATTGGCTGTAAGCAGATATCAAACTCGGGTCGCCAGGTTGCACTAACCACTGCACCGCTGCTTACCACAATAATTCTTACAACCACAACAACCTACTACATTCACAAATACATTTTTAATTCATGCTTGGACGTGCTTGCACCGTTGATTGCCTACCTGGTGAATATTTCATTCAGTGAGGGCTGTTTCCCGGACTGCTTCAAAATGGCGCAGGTCACCATGCTCGTGAAAAAAGCAGCCTTGAGCTATCGTGACCCTGCAAACTATCGTCCCATCTCAAATCTGCTCGCAGAGAGCCTCTGTCTTCAGCGGTTATTTCCCCAGGTCGCCACGATGGGTAGATTCAACCCATTGCAGTCGGCATACCAGAAGCACCATAGCATTGAGAAAGCTCTACTGAAGATCACTAACCACCTCTACAGGATCATGGATAAGTGCAATGCAGCTTTGGTTGGCCTGGATCGCTCAGCCACCTTCAACACCATCGACACGAGAAACTCATCAGGCGGATAAGGTCAAGGTTTGCCAAATTGGGTATGGCACGGAAACACGCACACAAATACACAAACACGTGTTAGCTACATCATGAGGCCTCCTTTGCCAGTACCAAAATATAATAATAGGGGTTTTCCCCTTTTTTCTGGCGACAAAACGGAAACCTTTTGCAAGGAATCATGTTTACATTAACCACAATACTTGCAGTCAGAATGCAAATAAAAAAACACTCTGATAATTTTTGCATTGTCCTTGAAACTGATTGGTCCACACTAGAGACAGTTTTCCTTAGAGCCTAGTCTCATACGGTACTTAGCTAACAAGCATGCTAATAAAACACGGTGACAAATACCACGCAAAAAATACATGAAAAAGGATGATAAAAACTATGCCAAAAACTTTAAATTCCAACTATAAAATAAATAATAACGCAGTCACTGACTTACAAACACATGCACAAAGAATAGTTCACACACAAACACAGGGAACCAGACCACACACAAGACTAAAAGGCCTGCAGATACTCAATACATATGCATAAATACATGTCTACAAAGACAAAGATCCCCGTATACACCCTTTCCACAGAGAAGAACCATCTTTTTTGTTGCCTTGTTCCTTTTATCTCTGCCTTCGTGAAGATTGTCCTTTAATTAGGTTAACATTTCTGTTGGAGACTGGTTGGCTCTGTGGAATCTCTTTGATGTCGACTGGTGTGAGCTGCTCTTGCTTCAAAGCACATAGATAAGCTAAAACTGCAACTCAGCCTGGACTTGCTTTGTGGCACAGATACAGTAGCAATGACAGCAACAATGTCAGAAACAACATGCATGAGCAGCAAAAACAAAAGTAATGACAACATTTACAACAGCAACAAGCAGCAACAACTGCAACAGCATCAACAACAGCAGTAATAGCAACAGCAGCAAACAACACCTTGCAATGGCGACGCTGCAACTTTTGACTTCGCTGCTGCTGCTGCTGCCCGGCTAGTTGCAGCCGAGCCCTGCTCTCACAGGACTGCAGCTGAGCGAGTCGAGCGGTCTGGACAAGCACTGTCTACCCTCTTCCCTGGAGAATTGGGGCCATACTCGGAACTTCTCTTGGCCTAGATCGACAAACCAATTCTATCTCACCCAAACGTCGCCGATACTGCAGCGGGACTCACTAGCAGACTCAGCCCAGCATCCAACATGGAGAAGGGAGTGCTGATCGGCCGACTTTCTGGTTCAAACTATTCTAGTTCCACACCCACTCTGCTACGATCTGCTGTGGAAATGCTGACTCCTAACCAACCATGTTCTGCACTTGTTGCTATCCCTCGCACATGGTTGTGCTGCAGATCTGGTCAGTTCTTCTGCCCGACATCCACATGATCACAGAAGAGCGCCTTCATCGCTATACTGCTGCTGATGTCGCACGCTCCATAATCAACAAGACCGTGCTGATCCATGATCTGATCAACGTTTGTGGACTCGACATATTGGCCATTACCAAAACTTGGGCAAAGGACGACTCACCAGTCATAATTAGGCATGAGGCTGCACCAAATCGATGTGCTATTGTACATCAGCACCGTCGTGGGAAGCCTGGCACCAGCAGCCCACATGGTGGTGCGATCGCACCAAGTCCTGAGTAAATGATTAACAATCCCGTCTTTCGAGCTGCTGCTTGTGAAAATTACGAACAGCATGCAGAGGCTTGCGATCGCTATCATCTATCAACCACCGTTTTTCACCGGTGTCAAAATTATTTTCCGAGCTTTCTGGTCTGCTAGACTGTGGGTCACTTTGCTCTCACTACATCCTCTGTGGTGACCTGAACTGTCCCGGACCGACTGGTTCTTGTGGTAAAATCAACAGAGATCTCGCCGAGATTATCGACAGTCAAAGTTTAATCCAGCACGTCAGAAATATACTGGATCATATCTTCACATCCGCCGATGCCGTAACTGTGACTGATGTTATCGAAGACGTGGATATTTCAGATCACAGTCTCGTGACATGCAAAGTGGCATTTCCGATTATTCGCTCATCCATCACAATTATATCATACAGACACTGGAAAAGACTGCACCATGATGCTTTCCGTCAGGAGATCCGATCATCATCGGTATGTCTAAATCTTGCATCGAAAGAAAATGAAATCACTGCTGTTCTTGATAAACCCTTGCCCATCCTAACAAGCACAAAGAGAATGGGGAAAGTGCGCAGTAACCAACAGTCACCCAAGTAATCACTGCGAAACAGACAAGAGGAGGCTGGAGCGTCTTTGGAAGAAAACATGTTTCGAAACTGTTTAACTTACAGAACCGCCTGCACATCTGCCAACCGACTCATTAGTCTCAACAGATCATTCTATGCTCTGCGAGTCAATGAGTCAGCTCAAAACCCCCATGCTCTATAGCGGATCGTGAAGGGTCTGCTGCACTCATCAACTAGTCAACCTGCTCAGTACTTGATACGTTATTTGCCTATAAAGTAGTGACGATCAAGAAAGCAGTTACTAACTTGTAGGTCACACATTCTCCTGGTCTGCCATCTGAGTTTGACCAACTTGGAACCAATGCAAAACTCGAGACCCTGGCACCAACGTCAGTGGCAAGTGTCGATGTTCATCGCACGACTGCAAAATAAGACATCGCCGCTTAACTACATCCACACGTCGATTCTTCAATCATGCTTGGATGTGCTTGCGCCACTTCATTGTCCACCTGGAAAATATTTCGTTCAGCGAGGGCTGTTTTCCAGACCGGTTAAAAATGGCGCAGGTAACACCCCTCCTTATAAAAAGTTGGCTTGAGCCATAGTGACCCCGCAAACTACTGCCCAATCTCAAACCTGAGCACGATGTCAAAGGTCATAAAGCGCCATGTCCGTCCAGTGCTTGCTTCCGGTTGCCGAACAAATAGATTAGGTCACGCTCATTGCACACAGTGTTTGCCACAAAGGAACCACAGTACCTTGCTGCTCTCGTCAAGGAGAATAAACCATCACGCGAACTCTGGTCATCCTCGTAGTGGATTTTGGATGGCCATCGAACAAAGATGGTCAATGCGTTATTCGCGTTTAGATGCGCTTCTGCGGCCGTCTGGAACGCTCTTCCTTCTGATATGAGGAAGCCACTGGAGCTGTGCACTTTTAAATCTTGATTGAAAACTTCCTTCTTGAGAAATGCTTTTTGCGTTTAGTTTGTTGTCCTTCCCCCACACCTCTGATTAGCACGGTTGGGTACGTATGGTGCGAATGAAGTTCAACATACATATATACTTCACAGACTGTTGGGGAAAGTGCTCTTAGCGAGCATCTATGAAGGCCGGTATGGCACACGAGAGGGTGGGGTCGCCAGCACCACGCCCAGCTGCCTTTGTCTCACAGTGGTGATGTTTGCACACCCTACCATGTATTAATTTGAGGCTCAGTTGACCTAGGGGCAGCCCAGGACTGGTTCAGATAATCATCATTGTTGTTGGCCGTGAGTGGGATTCACAGCGCGCTAACTGCTACGCCACACAGACAAACACATCAACATCCTCCACACACCATACATGGTGACAAACACACTATGATGAATACAAACGATGACACACACAAACTGTAAAAGAGACAAAATGTGAATCAGTGACCCTAACAAGGCAACATATGCATGCAATGAAACATACACAGGTAACGCACAGTGTCAGATAATTGGTCCATCACACTCAGGGACATTGTTAAATGTACACTGATACACAATATGTACACAATGACACGTGATGATGCACTATAATACAATACACAACATCCACCATTAAGGAATAAGTGACTGTAATGTCAGCACAACAGAGACTATTTCCTCTCAACATCATCAAGACAGGTACATGCCAACTACAGCTGCAGGAAACTATCAAATTCTCCTTTGAAATGGTTAGCTGAAGCCAAGCTATTTTGGGTTTGAATGGAGTCCTGGGTAGATGCCCAACCTCATCTTGGAAGTCTGGTTTTCACTATCTTACAGATGACAAGCCGGACGTCACTGGACAGACCACTTTAATGGTAGGGTTTTGGTGTGGAAGACATAGGCCCATATTCACTATCATACAGCCACAACGCCCAGATGTTCTTGTCTAAGCCTGTTGTGGACATTCAATTCAACTCATGGGTAACAGCGTGGTGCAGTGATAACACATGTGGCTCACAGAATTAAGGGCCTGGGATTCAATTTCTGACTTGGGTGCCTTTCTGTGTGGAATTTGTAAGCAATCTTTCAGAGACTACTTTAAATTTCACACACCACATCAGAGTATCATTTAGTATTCATATTCTTGTTTACACAAGAAAGCATCACTGAGTCTGAACTCTTTTTCAGCAGGGCACCTGCAGGTTTTTGCAGTAGGGGACGATGTTGCTACGTGTAATTCCAATTTAGTAATTTGCATGCATTTTTTCAGAATTTGGGATATTTGGCTTATAACACTATTTCTTTAGCTATGGGAGGAAAGCAGACGACTTGGGAACACATGTGGAAAAGGGGGTAAACACAAATGAATACACAAATTTGTAATATGTAGCTTTTCATTATGCTTCAGAGGAATGGGAAATTAGACAAGTGGGAAGGCAGCCAGGCTGTGAGGAGACACTGGCATATGCCCAAGCTCTGCGGTCCTGTATATATGTATGTTTTTAGTTAATTACTCAGAGAAAACAGAGAAAACAGAGAAAACCCACACATGCGAGGGGGTCAACACACCATCCCATACAGATGAAAACAGATGAAGACAAATCCACTTGCTGTACTGCTATCTCCTGGCAAGCCAGGGTATGGAAATCTTGACACCCACAAGCAGTTTCACTACATTTGTGTAATCCACTAACCCTCATCTCCACGGTGCTTGCGATCGTGAATCATGGAGGTAAATAGTTACACCCCAAATACACAGTGACTTGACACAGTGACGCAGTGACACTTGATACATGGTTACACTGAGCGAGTGGTACACACCATGACAGTGATACAAAGTAACATAATGGGACATGGTGTCATAAACACACCCTGTGATACAGCATGACATGGCGCCACACACATAGGGACACAGGAACACAGAGATATACAGTGATAGCTTAATTCACTGACAATGGTACGACTTAATAATGATGATGATAAAAAAGAAGTGCTCACTGTTGTCTCTCAGTCGTTGTCTTTCTGTTCTTGGCAGTGATGTTGATGGTGTTGAGTTATCTTCCTGCTGAGACTTCATGACACAAACATTTTCATTAAAACACAAAAAAAACAGAGAAGAAACATCGAAAATATTTAAAGTGCAAATGCTGAAATTGGAAATAAATAATTTGGGGAACTCATCAATGTGAAGCATAGTGTGGAAAACACTTTTTTAATACAGTACCAAGGTTTGAAAGGGCCCTCAAAAAGGTTTTATTGTATAGGACTTACATAGAAAGAATTCATATTCAGAGGTACAGTAAAACCTTGGATTGCGAGTAACTTGGTCTGCGAGTGTTTTGCAAGACGAGCAATTTTTTATTATAAATTTTAACTTGATAAACGAGCGAGGTCTTGCAATGCGAGTAGTGCATATACGCTTTGTCTGCCGAGCGTCACGTGATCACAACTGAGCCGATGGTTCTTCTCTCTCTCTCTCGCTGCGGGATTGTGGGTAATCGTCTCCCATACTCGGTCTCAGTCGGCGTGCCTCACTCGTATAGTCAACATCTGTGCCCGTGCGAGCGTATACTGTTTACTATAGTGTTGTGACCACGTGTGTGCGCGTAAAGCATTTTTTTATTGTGTCCAAGTGTAGTGACTGTTCTTTAGTAACTGTACTGCAACAATGGCCCCCATGAAATCCTCAAAAGGAGGCAAAAGCAAGTGTCATTGGATAGGTTCCTTGTTAAAGTCGCACAAAAAAAAGATTCCAGTGAGCCAACAGATAGCAGTGATTCCGTTAGTGACAGTGAAAGTCGTCCTACACAATCACCCTCCTCCTCCTCTCCTCTCTCTCGTCTCCCTCGCACCAGCCACGATAAAATTGAATTAATTTGATTACTTTATATTACATTTAAATAATAAAATATAAAAAGGTATTTTGTATTAATCTATTTTACATGAATATTTTTGGGTTGTGGAACGAATCATCTGAGTTTCCATTATTTCTTATGGGGAAATTCGCTTTGATATACGAGTGCTTTGGATTACAAACACGTTTCGGAACGAAATATGCTCGCAATCCAAGGTTTTACTGTATTTCCTTTTCACGTCCTTTTGATAAAACTATAACTCAAGAACCATAACTCTGACATAACTCAAGACGTTGGATTTGAGATAATGATGGACCATTACAGCTCAGGAAGATATTGCTCACTCTTGGGACACTGAGATAGGTCCTAATTGAGTGCAATAGTGTGATTCATCACACCTGTTGAAAGTGCTACAGCCTCCAGTGGTATGATAAACCCTACCATGTCTGCTTGGATATATTTTACTCTGTTCTCTTTGTACTCCTAGATTCCTTCAGTCAGATGACATCTCTTGTACAGTGAGATCACCTCAGTTTAACACGTAGGCTTTGAGATCACCTCAGTGGAGGTTGCAAGCAACTCCTCGCATTCAGAAACATATCCAGGTGACAGTATTGAAACATGAGATGTCAAATTTTGATTTAAAGCTTTCGTGACTGCAGGGATTCATATTCTTGGTTCTTTCGGTAAAGTCACGTATAAGGGAAACAATAAAATAATAAAAATATAAAACAATAAAATTCTCACGACGTTTCGACTGCAACACAAGCAATCATCATCAGGTGTGAAAACCACAACAAGAAAATTTGAAAAAAGTGGCGTTTTTTTAACGTTAGCACCACGGATAGCGATTTGACAGTTTGTTCAGATGGACGAGTCCATCTATGCTCGGAAAAGAGGAGGGGGGAGACGAAAAAACAATGGATGCGGTCTGAAAGCCAGCCTTAAGCGTGATCAATCAATAAAGACCCGAAATGGTTTATCAAATCCTTCCAATGATTGCTAAGCCAGAATCCATCTTCTCGGTTGAAATTGTCTCTGTTTGTATATGTGGATAGCCTCATGAACGAATCTCTCATGGTAGCCAGATGGCTTCCAAAGAACCTCTGTCTTGGAGAAGTCAATGTCATGTGAACCTACTGAATTATAACAGTGATCTGCCACGGCCGAGGTGTTGGTCCTACCGTGTTTCAGGTCTGCTTTGAGTTCACGAATGCGGTCCGAGACATGTCGTTTGGTTTCTCCAATGTAACTACTACCACAGAGGCAACTTAGTTTGTAGACGCCAGGGTACTGTATGTCCGGAATCACATCTTTTACAGACGGAACCAGATCACGGATTTTATGTAATGTGTTTAATTGATCAAACCAAACAGTTTTCGTTGAAACCTTCTGCTACCAGGCCACCAAGATTATACGGCTTACCAAAAATACAAAGTAAATACACCCCTTCGTCCCATCGTCTCTACTATCAACTACCCCACCTACAAACTGGCTCGTTTTCTGTCTGAAATCCTGCGGCCTTTCATTGGAAAAACCACCTCTGCGGTACAAAATTCTACTCACCTGGTATCGACAACCAAGGGTATTTCCCTGTCCCCAGACGACCTGCTTGTCAGTTTTGATGTAGTTTCCTTATTCACCAATCTTCCTGTACCTGACTCCATTGCAATCATTGAAGACTTGGTTCATCAAGGACTAAACACTGAGGTACCCCCCTGGTAAGACACTGCTTAACCAATACATACTTCACTTGGAATGGAACTTTCTACAAACAAACTGAGGGCACCCCAATGGGCTCCCCCCTATCTCCGGTTGTAGCCAACATTTTCATGGAGAAATTTGAGACTGGCGCCATCCAGACTGCCACTCTGCGCCCAACCTTATGGAAGAGGTACGTGGATGACACTTTTGTCATCTGGCCACATGGCCGGCCTGCTCTAGACGAATTCTTCGACCACATCAATTCCATCCACCCAGCCATCAGATTTACCATGGAAGTCGAAAAAGATGGCAAGCTACCTTTTTTGGATGTCCTAATAAAAAAATGAGCCACCCTGTCTACAGGAAAGCTACCCATACGGATGCTTACCTGAAACCGGATTCCCACCACCATGCATCCCAAAATAATTCCCTCGTCAAGATTCTGCACCATAGAGCCCAATGCATATCCGACCAGGAACACATAGCCAGTGAACTCAAGCACGTACACCAAGCTCTTAAGGCTAATGGTTATTCTGATGACACAATCCGCAAAGCTATCACTCCAACCATGAAGAAGGACCCTCTTGAGGAGCCTTTCAAAACCATCACTTTACCCTAAATTGTGGGGATCACAAAAAAGATCTCCAAAATCTTGAATAAACACAAGATCCAGGTCCGATTCAACACAATACATAAAATCCGTGATCTGGTTCCGTCTGTAAAAGATGTGATTCCGAACATACAATATCCTGGCGTCTACAAACTAAGTTCCCTCTGTGGTAGTAGTTACATTGGAGAAACCAAACGACATGTCTCGGACCGCATTCATGAACACAAAGCAGACCTGAAACACGGTAGGACCAACACCTCGGCCATGGCAGATCACTGTTATAATTCAGTAGGTTCACATGACATTGACTTCTCCAAGACATAGGTTCTTTGCAAGCCATCTGGCTACCATGAGAGATTCGTTCATGAGGCTATCCACATATACAAACACAGAGACAATTTTAAACCGAGAAGATGGATTATGGCTTAGCAATCATTGGAAGGATTTGATAAACCATTTCGGGTCTTAATTGATTGATCATGCTTAAGGTGGTTTTCAGACCGCATCCATTCTTTTTCGTCTCCCCCCTCCTCTTTTCCGAGTATAGATGGACTCGTCCATCTGAACAAACTGTCAAATCGCTATCCGTGGTGCTAACGTTAAAAAAACGCCACTTTTTTCAAATTTTCTTGTTGTGGTTTTCACACCTAATGATGATTGCTTGTGTTGCAGTCGAAACGTCGTGAGAATTTTATTGTTTTATGTTTTTATTATTTTATTGTTTCCCTTCTACGTGACTTTACCGAAAGAACCAAGAATATGAGAAGATGTCGTCATTAGTTTGTTCCTATGTGAGTTTGCCAAGCTAACAAAAAAGAAACAGCTTGCTTTTGATTTCAACATCTGCTTTTCTTCCTTCATGAAGAGCAACACCCTGGAGTTTAAATGTATTTGCTGCTGCAGGAGCTAATCCCATACATTCTGCTTCTCCTCTACTGCCCGGTGCCTAAAAAAACATTGATTATGCAACAAATGGGCTTAAGGCATGGTTGCTAGAGTCATGGTGGAGATTAATTGACAGTTCAGCCAATTACATTAGGGCATCTCTAATTAATGCCGTTGCAGTCAATAATTTCAGAAGAATTCTGTATTTGCTGTTTGTTTTTTGCTGCCTCTTCTTGTCTGCTGTTGCTGAACCGAAATAACCATGCAAGACAGAATAAAGAAGCCAAACTGCTTTGACAATGTGATCAAGAGATGCTACCCAACAGATGCCAAAAACTCTGCCGATTGTCGTGAAGGTGATTGCTAAGCTGTCTACAATTAAAGTAGTTTAATGTCAAATCACTGCCTAGAAAGATGACAATCTTAAATCTTAATGAAATTGGCAGAGTTGGAGGTACCACAGACATGGTAATATTCCAAATTATAGGTCAGTGGAATAAAAGTCTGCCAAGTTATGGGTCACAGAATAAAAAAAATTGGGTGCCATAGAAGTAAGGTTCAAAATGACAAGCCACACCTTTATTTTGAGAGCTACAGAGAAAACCAAGAGACCAATGGAAAGGTATCTTTCAGTTTTTTCCATGGATGACATAAACAAATGACATTACTATAAAAGATTCATGATTATTTTGCACTCATTTGTGTCTAATGACACCGACCAATTGTCCAAACTAGGAATTTTAAAAATGTGGAAAAAAACATCCCCAGACCCTCAGCAACATGGCAATAAAAAAATGTTAATTGGGCACTTCATGGAGATATTAGCCACAATGAATGTCGAATCGTTTAAACGACCAATTATTAATAAATAATGCAAAATTATGCACGTTTTTTTATTATTAATAATTGTATGATTTATTAGCAGTTGGCTACTTTAAACAAATATTTGATTTAGATTATCGGAAGAGTGTAACTCACTACAGCTTTATTAATCAAAACAAAGTACTGACCTTCGATCAAAGAAATTCAATACAAGAAATTCAATACAATTGGAGGACTGATATATTCAATACCAGGGGGAGGTGTGTCCATTTTCCTGGGGACAATACTATTCATAGTAATCATATTTTATGACGTATGCCACATATATTGAAATGGATCGAAAGAGCTGAAGAGAGATTTCCAAAAATAAGGAAGTTACAGCTTTAAATGTGTAAATTGCCTCCTCAGGCAACCGAAAAAGATCAAATATTCAAAGCCTCATAATATGGAAGCCATCTGATCCCCTGACTTCAAATTAAAATGTAAAATGCTTCAATGGTACCTTCAAGTATAGACATTTTATAAAGATGGGAGATGGATAAAAACATATTTTTGTTTTAATATTTTGAGTTACCGGACAGGAAATTGCCCATTGGCCAAACATCCCAATTCTGAAAAATGACCTGCAACTTACATAATTTGTATTACACAAAGTAACATCACCCACAAATACAAAAAACTTGGAAGCACCTGAATGAAAGTGAATCTTGAGACTCAGTGACACTTTTCTGGTTAAACAAGTGTCATAATAATAGTACGACAATGGAGTAGTGCAGGCAAGCTCCAGATGGGGTTAACGTTCACCTGGGGGTCACGGCGTGGTCGCAGGCTGCGTCCTCTTTCCCACGACTCCATCTTCTGCTTTTGTCGCTCCTCCTCCAGCTAGACAGGAAATCCATAGACAAAGACATAAATACACATACGCATACACAAAATGAGAGGCATAAACAAACGTGGACAAGCTAACTTCGCTTAGCGTGAGCCCGTAGAAAGCTGATTCATTGTAGCACTCGTCCTGGAGAAAATGTTTGATAAAAAAATGAAGAAAATCCAATAATTTAAAAAGCGCTTACAAGTGGAAACACGCAGCGCTGGCCGAGCAAACGCATCCACCATCATCTCTGTTTACATTTGCTAAGCCAATCAGAGTGATGTACCCTCTGATTTTGTACGTTTGCCCACTGACAAATAAATGATCAGTCTATAATTTTAATGGTAGGTTTATTGGAACAATGAGAGACAGAATAACAACAAAAAAATCCAGAAAAACGCATGTCAAAAATGTTATAAATTAATTTGCATTTTAATGAAGAAAATAAATATTTGACCCCCTCTCAATCAGAAAGATTTCTGGCTCCCAGGTGTCTTATATACAGGTAACGAGCTGAGATTAGGAGCACACTCTTAAAGGGAGTGCTCCTAATCTCAGCCTGTTACCTGTATAAAAGACACCTGTCCACAGAAGCAATCAATCAGATTCCAAACTCTCCACCATGGCCAAGACCAAAGAGCTCTCCAAGGATCTCAGGGACAAGATTGTAGACCTACACAAGGCTGGAATGGGCTACAAGACCATTGCCAAGCAGCTTGGTGAGAAGGTGGCAACAGTTGGTGCGATTATTCGCAAATGGAAGAAACACAAAAGAACTGTCAATCTCCCTCGGCCTGGGGCTACATGCAAGATCTCACCTCGTGGAGTTGCAATGATCATGAGAACGGTGAGGAATCAGCCCAAAACTACACGGGAGGATCTTGACAATGATCTCAAGGCAGCTGGGACCATAGTCACCAACAAAACAATTGGTAACACACTACGCCATGAAGGACTGAAATCCTGCAGCGCCCGCAAGGTCCCCCTGCTCAAGAAAGCACATATACATGCCCGTCTGAAGTTTGCCAATGAACATTTGAATGATTCAGAGGACAACTGGGTGAAAGTGTTGTGGTCAGATGAGACCAAAATGGAGCTCTTTGGCATCAACTCAACTCGCCGTGTTTGGGGGAGGAGGAATGCAGCCTATAACCCCAAAAACACCATCCCCACCGTCAAACATGGAGGTGGAAACATTGTGCTTTGGGGGTGTTTTTCTGCTAAGGGGACAAGACAACTTCACCGCATCAAAGGGATGATGGACGGGGCCATGTACCGTCAAATCTTGGGTGAGAACCTCCTTCCCTCAGCCAGGGCATTGAAAATGGGTCATGGATCGGTATTCCAGCATGACAATGACCCAAAACACACGGCCAAGGCAACAAAGGAGTGGCTCAAGAAGAAGCACATTAAGGTCCTGGAGTGGCCTAGCCAGTCTCCAGACCTTAATCCCAGAGAAAATCTGTGGAGGGAGCTGAAGGTTCGACTTGCCAAACGCCAGCCTCGAAACCTTAATGACTTGGAGAAGATCTGCAAAGAGGAGTGGGACAAAATCCCTCCTGAGATGTGTGCAAACCTGGTGGCCAACTACAAGAAACGTCTGACCTCTGTGATTGCCAACAAGGGTTTTGCCACCAAGTACTAAGTCATGTTTTGCAGAGGGGTCAAATACTTATTTCCCTCATTAAAATACAAATCAATTTATAACATTTTTGACATGCGTTTTTCTGGATTGTTGTTGTTATTCTGTCTCTCACTGTTCAAATAAACCTACCATTAAATTATAGACTGACCATTTATTTGTCAGTGGGCAAACATACAAAATCAGCAGGGGATCAAATACATTTTTCCCTCACTGTAAGATGTCTGGAAAAAGACCTGCAAGTGTTAGTGCTGAAAATGTGACCAGTGTCAAGTATCACTTTGGATGTTAAAATGCCAGTGATAAGGTGAGTCTGAGGCGGGTGAGCTTCAGGTCCATGTGGGTCGTGTCAGGTGGATGCACTGGTGAGTACAGTACATAATACTGAAAAGTTTTGTTACTTATAAAATGTTTACCATCTGTATTATTACTAGCACTATTACTGACACCTCTGATATATTGCTCATACATAAGAAATAACACTACCGGGATTGCATCCCCATATACATACAAAACGGTATAATGAACCCTTTAAGCGACAAATCAATTTTCGCTGGATTTTGCAGGAACGCAATTTGAGCACTAAGCAAAGTCTAAGTGTACATATATTCATACATATACACAAAGAAGATGACAGGCGTAAACAAACAAAACAAATACCCGTACATTAATGTAAAGTACATGACAGGTATAGACAAACATATAGAATGACAGGTAGAGACAAATACACACAATAGCAACTTGCATTCGCCACTGTACGTATAACTTATTTCACACCGTATGTAGCCAACCGCGCAAATCAGAGGTGAAGAGGAAGGACAACTATAACTGACAGTGACATCACCATGGCGCTTGTGCCAGGCTAGGTGCACTTTGAGGCCATGTAAGTGTCAAAGGCTCACTGAAAAGAGGTCATGAGGCAGACTCATGTCTCCTTGTTAATTAACGTAGATGACCGACAGATGCTCCACCTATGCTCCCTACTGTGCCAACTTCCTGTGTTCGCCGCCTGGTGCTCCACTCGTTGTTGCTCCTCCACTCTCCATTGTTGTTGGAGGGTGACTAACTGCCCAGTCACATCCTGTACGAACCTCCTTCACAGAGGCTGATCTTGACACCACTGGTACCATTCATTCTTTGACAAGTCTGCTCAGCTCCAAGTCCTCCTCTACCGCATCAGCTCTTCTCTAGTCCATGCCGTGCTCATTTCGCCCCCTCTATCGGACAAAAGAGAAGCTGTTTAGGTATGCGATGGCTGGGCATGCGAGCTACATGACCCAATCAATGCAGTCGCCTACCAAAGGAGTTCACCGAAGGGATTGTTTCCAGATCTTTAAAGTATCTGTGAGCTCCTCCCACAATCCAGCCTAGTAACTAAACCCAAAATGGACCATAAGGCACAGATGTCCCTTTAAAAGGGTCCACTTTCACAAGCAAAGAGAAGGGAGGGCATAAGTGGTTGTGAAAACCCAAAGCTTCATATAGCACAATAGGTCAAGTAGCTACCATATCGCATTACGCAACTGTTAGCAAGATGCTGCTAAACTAATTCGGATTGAGACCTCCGCTGTCAAACCAGAACTGGTCATAAGTATACTACCCAGATACAGAAACTTCTCCACTCGCTCTAAAACTGCTGTGGAGTATCTGGTGGCATAAAATACCCAGACAAGTGCTTTTTTTGCTGTGACTGATGATAATGGAACACTCCAGCTTCAGCAGTAGTGTCACCGGACCATAAGCATACGTAACCTGGTTGACCAGAGCAATTCCTGAGCCGCAGCTGGACATCAGTTGTGTACGGTAACTATATAAACATTTGCTGGAGTCACTGATATTTTTGGTTAGCCAGGTCACTAGTTCTCGTGTAGTGAGTCTAACTGAGTCGCAGACGTTATCTTGGGAGCAACACTATTTATTACACATTAACACGTAACACAACACGATCTACACTCAAGTCTCGAATGCCCATCTAATCACGCTAGGGCAGAACTAGACACGGTTCGCCATCCCGGTCTGGACCACAAACAGGGTCCCGGGACCGCGTGGCTAGAGACTTCTTCTCCCCGACGTGGATCTTCGTAACACCGGCACACGAAGAACCGCGAGCTCCTCACGGGGCCCTCGTTATATGCCCCCGGGCTGGGGCTGGCTCCGCCCTTCGCCCAGGTCTCTCGAGCTCCTTCTCGAAGGTTTCCGAGAGCTCCTTTGGACCACGTGACCGCCCCACGGCCCCCGTCCACCGGTAGCCCCCCTCCAATATCATCCAGTCACGTGACAGCAGGTCAACCAGCATATCATGCCCCAAGGTAACCCTGGCTGGCTGACGCTCCCTCTCGCTCCCTCACCGGGAGCCCGCACAGCACACTGCTGGCAGTGCCTCCGCGCTAACCAGCGCTCACCCAAGCCCCGCTAGGGCTTGTACTACATCCCGTAATCCGGGCTGCCTGTAATGACAACACATTACCGGCCGTGGCTTTGCAAGCCCCGGCACCATACAGTGACAAGCACAGTCACTACACTCGTATGGTGGGTTAAGTTGTGTGAGCATAAGGCAACTTTTAACCTGACATTACTGGGGTTGCCCTTTAATTGTAGGCCAGTCAACCTCCACACTTCCACACAGTAGCACAACTTCCAACAACAATTCACCCAGAGTATCTTATATGGATTAACATCCAAACATACACCCACTCACACCTATGTCCTAGCGGTTTCTTGACCTCATACACTCTTGAATATGGCTAGCTTAGCCACCATTGGCCTTTAAGGCTGTTTGCATATCAGCCCAGATATGGAGATGTCCCCACTGTTCACCAGTCGTGTAAGTCACGCTGGGTTTTGCAATTTTGCTTCATTACCCTGGTCTCGTTGCGTCTTCAGGGTTCTGGGAGTATTTGAGACCCCTTAGGGCTTCCAACACCCCCTTGATCAGACACCCCCTTACACCACAGTATTCCCACTGGGTGCTTACTCGTCACCTTTACACTCTATTCAATAACACCCCTCACCATCACTAAATTTATGTGGCCTCTCATGCAAACCTTAATTCCGAACCACCGCTTCTTTACCATGCTCAGCAGTATAAAATTTGACTGTTAACAGCACGATTAAGACAGTAACAGCAGGTTATTGACTTCTATGGGCTCGGCTGCAACACTTGCACTGCTCATGTCCCCCGCAGGATGGTGCTAGAGGCAGCCTCCTTGCACTCGCCCCACTGATAAAATGTCCTTTCTTTACCTCGCTCGTCTCTGCTCCTCGACAAGACAACCAACATTGGGTTGGGTTTGGCAAACTTCACTGGTTAATTTCCTAATAAAATAAGCCCTGCCCTTGGTCGGAATTAATATTAGGGCACGTGGTTCCTCTAATTATTTAACTCAAAGTGCATTGCTGCACCGCTGATGAAATTGGTAAACTGAATGAAAAGTTGCCTTATGCTCACACAGCCTGCACAGGTCGACCCCCTCCCTACCTTTCATCATGCTAAGTCCGCCTATTAAAATGCAAATTTCTATGCTAATACCTTTGTCAAGGCACCTTAATTACTCTCACACAGCGTAAAGGTCGCGGTCTGAGCTTGGCTGTGTTTCACTCCAGCGCTGTTCTCGAGACAGTCTGGTCCCTTCACCTGATGAAGGCCACTTGTGTTGTGGCCGAAACGTCATGATTTTTGTTGTTTTATTTTTTACCTACGTGACTTTACCGAATAGAACCAAAGAGTATGAATGAGGCTCATCGATTCCATCTTCACCTTGCAAACACAGAACCTGCTCTTCCTCTGTCAGTTCACCATCCCCCTCGTTCAAACACGCGGTCCACCCCATACACATTGTATGGGAATTAACCCCCACTATATGCCATGCTCCACACTCACCTTTAAGTAAATGTAATATGACACATTTAGGCTTTATTCTACTATGTAACATCAATCAGCCTCCCATTGTATTTGTATGGGATGAAAATTCCTCTGGTATAGCAATGGAAAGCTTCTTCAACTACCTGGTAAAAAAATATTTGAAATAGTGTAGGAGCCAAAGGACATCCCTGTTGCACCCCAAGGTGAAATGGGAATGGCCTGCCCACCATCAAGGTCCTCTACAATTATGGTCTTATGGTTAGAGGGTCAAAGACCCCGAAAACACGAAGAATAACCCAGAGCCCTTATTGATGACATAATAGGCCAAGACCAGGTAAATAAAGCAGAGATGTAGGTCCTGTTTAAATTCTCTACACTTCTGCTGTCGCAGATGGAGTCTGCAGGATCAGCCCCCCAGTATGAAACCACATTTACGCTCCACAAAACTTCTCCTCAGTGATCTTGGCAAGGAATACTAAATGTCGACTTTCCAGGCACACCGAGGGAGAGGCCCTGATAGTTCTTACAATCAGTGCAGTCTCCTTCTCGAAAAGGAGACCACCACGGCATCTTTCCAATCCTGCAGAACCCATCCTGTGGTCCAGAGGGTTGTAATTATGTTATATAAGCCGGCATGTTCACAATCATCACCTTCCCTTAGCAGTTCGCTTGGGAGATTATCTCAACCCAGTGATTTTCCGGGTATCAGGCTCTGGATAGCTCTTTGTACTTCAACTGATGGCACATCAGCTAGCCTCTCACAGGGAGTGGCTACTTCCTCAAATATGAGGCACCGCAGCCCCAGCAGGGTCAACCCTAACCTTCCATAACATGTTTTTTGGGCTAGATCGCGTACATTTACACGATCTAACCCAAAACACCTCTTTTATGGATATTGGTTGCAAAAGCCTACGTGTTAAACTCAACCCTACCTTGCCCCATGATGGTATCTGGGCTGCAGGGTTCCCCCCCCCCAGGTCATTACAGAAATTCTCAGAAAACCAGTATATCTGTTCGTGGAGATTATGCACTTGTGCGTGTTACCTCCTTCAGGAGGTAACACGCACAAGTCCATAAACACCCACACAGAAAAAAATACAGGCATGGACAAATACACACACACACACAAAGAGAATGAGGGACATGTATTGACAAACACACTATACATACATGCTGACTTGCTTAAATAAAGACATATACCATTTTTTTTTTAAAGAGATGTAGAAATATATTTGATTCATTAGCGCCATGAAATCCCATGTGCCCTGAAAACATAGAATGACAAACAATCCAGTTTGTCGCAGTTTGGTCAAGTTCTATGATGTAGAAATGTGGCCTGGGCTCTCATAAAACAAAGACATTTTTAGACGGAAGCCCAAATCCCATTATATATTTATCATGCTAAATATTGCTGAAAAAACACCTTTCATATCTGAGGCAGGCACCGTCTGCTCCGGCAGGCACCGTCTGCTCCTGTTTGCACTTGGCAGTAGATATTTTTCATGAAATTAAACCACGTTTGAAGCTACTCCAATACACGGGTGCACACAGAAATACACACAGAGGCCGGGCCAGTTATGTTGTGAGCGCACCTGCTTCACCCGGGCCTGGTGTTCGGCGGCACGAGCGTCAAGTTCTTGCTGCATGCGGATTCGGGAGCGTTCCATAGCGGAGTGCATGTTCATAAGAAGATCTGAACACACATACATACATAGACATGTATTAGAATGGTCCTTATATTTCAAAGTAAGTTTCATGATTGAGGGCACCCTGTGGATTGTTCCTTGTTGCTGACTTACGCACATTCACAACATTTCAGCCTAGTCGAAGGATGTTCAGGGGTCCGTTCGGAGTTGTGATGTTTCACGCTATGGTTTTCAAATTGGAAATTTCGACCATTTTTGGGAGAATTCTAGAACAAGCTAAAACATTCTGGAATGTTCTGGATGCTTTTTGAATAAACCTTAACTTTCGATAATAAAGTATAAATGTATGGGTTAGGTGGAAAATCCATGACATTAGCTGGAGTAATCTGGAACATTCTGGAAAGTTCTGGAACACCCTGCAGCATTCCAGCATGTAACATTTCTCTCCAGGAGCATTCCTCCAGGGTGTTCTAAAATATTTCAAATTGTACAAAAATTAAGTTGCTGGCAGGATATACAAACACCCTGCTTCACCCCCAGAGAACTATTTAGAAGTGATGTAGTGACCATAACGTGATCATGAAACCATTTTTGACTCTGAATTGGCTGAATTGACTAACATTTGGTGAATAAATCACCCACGTGTGCATAAAATAGCTTAAGCATTGAGCAGATTATACAACTAAGTGGCGGTGATGTCACCACGGCACTTGTGCCAGACTATGTGCAAAGTAAGGCCACATGAAGTGTTGAACGCTCGCTGGCAAGGAGGTCACGGGACAGACCCAGGTGTCATGGGTTGACTGACTGAGATGACTGGCCGACGCACCACCTGTGCCCCTACTGGGCCAACTTGCTGTGCTTTAGGCACCCGGCACTCCGCTTGCTGTTGTGAGAGTTGCTTCTCTCCCCTCCGTTGTTGCTGGAGGGCGACTGCATTCATATGCCCAGTAGCGTTCTTCAAGAGCCTCCTCCACAGAGGCCGAACTTAACAGCGCTGATACCAGTCATCGGCAAGTCCACTCAGCTCCACATCCTCTTGTACCACATCACTCCATCTCTTCTATAGCCCATGCCGTGCCCCTTTTAGACCCCCTCTATCCGATTGAACAAAAACTTCTGTTTTCAGGTGGAAACCATCACAGCAAAAATTACTGTATTAAGTGAAGAGAGCTCTAAGATACCCGAGATTATATACAGGTTAAGGGGGGAGGGGGGGGGGGAGCCAGGAAGGGCCATGGGGGCGGGCTAAGTTAAGCCGCCTTTTGTTATGCTGCAGGGGGGTGAGGGGGACGGAGAGGCGATGGCGAGCGGTGATCGAAAGCAAGCGCAGTCAACTGGAAGAAATGGAAATGGCTGTACAATTAAAAGGTAGCTAAAGTTTGACTTGGTTGATAACATCTTTCCAATGTTTGCTCAATTTGAAACCATCCTCTCGGTTGAAGTTGAGTCTATGTTTGTGTATCTGCATGGCATCATGGACAAATCTTTGGTAGTATCCGGGAGGTTTGCAGAGTACTTTGGTATCGGAGAAAACAATATCATGAGAACCGCTGTGTTGAAACGGTTATCAGCTACGGCCGAAGAATTCGTTCTGCCGTGTTTCAAATCTGATTTGTGCTCGCGAATTCCGTCAGAAATATGTCGTTTCATCTCCCCGATATAGCAGTCACCGCAGGTACAACTCAATTTGTAAACACCGGGGTACTGTAAGTCAGGAATGACATCCTTTGCGGATGGGATCAGATCACGGATTTTGTGTACTGTATTGAACCGGACCTGGATCTTGTGTTTGTTTAGAATTTTGGAAATCTTTTTGGCAACGCCTGCTATGTATGGCAACGTGATGATTTTGATCGGAGTATCAGGTGGTTGTTTCTGTATGGTGGGAGAAACAGCTTGGAGGATAGTACGGTCAGAGTATCCGTTCATCTTGAGGGCCAGATGTACATGTTTTAATTCACTGGCTAGGTGGTGTTGGTCAGAAATGCAATGAGCCCTATGGTATAGTGTTTTGATGAGATAATTATTTTGAGCCAGGTGGTGGTGGGAATCAGGCTTCAAGTAGGAATCTGTGTAGGTGGCCTTCCTGTAAACAGAATGTCCAAAAGAGCCATCAGGCCTCCTCTCAAACAGAACATCCAAAAATGGCAGCTTGCCATCTTCAAGATATGCCGCGATAACAAGGTAATACCCATCGCTTTCACACTCACATCTGTTGCTGTATCTTCACCGAACTCTAAACGGATTTTGTTTAAAGCTAGCCTATCACTAATCTCAGAGAGAATAATATTATTCCGATTTGAACTCGATAGTTTAGACAAGACTCTCTTACAATCACATTTAATGTTAACACAAAAATGTCCCCTTCTGATTGGAACCACATTGACAACATGACTGCTGCCTCTGCTGATTCACTGTCAGCCAAATGCAAAGCTAACCTGACCACTAAATTCAATCTCCTATCAAAGAAGAAGCCAGAACCACACATCACAAAGCTGGATGTTAACAAAATCGTTATTAATCAGAGTAACATCCCGATTTCAGATAATTTGAAAATGGTACTGGCTAAAGGGCTAAATTTCGCTGTCACCCATAAACATATACCAGTAGAGGATGTGATCTCTCCGGTCGATGTAGCCCTCAAATACATAGGACACATCCAAGCGGACGATGCCAGAGCTGAAATAGACACTATTCTCAAGAATGCTAACAAACCCATGAGCAACATTAGCAAAAACAAACGCTCTGAACTCGCGAATTTAAAAAAGAGGGATGATATAGTCATCCTCTCAGCCGACAAGGGCAATGCTACTGTTATTATGGATAAAAACTCATACAACAAAATCCAGGACCTACTCAATGATGGGAGTTACTCCAAAATTAAAAGTGATCCTACTAACAGCCTAACGACAAAAACCAATAAGATCATCACTAGTTCGACTTCCCTAATCGAACCAACCAAACATCCCTCCCTAAAACCCTCAGCTGCAAGACCTCCCAGATCCTATGGTCTTCCCAAGATCCATAAAGAAGGTACCCCACTACGGCCCATCGTGTCCACGATCAACTCTCCTACCTACAAGCTAGCCCGTTTTTTATCGGATACTCTGCTTCCCTTCACTGGCAAGACAACCTCAGCAGTACTTAACTCAACCCAATTGGTTTCTATGGTCAAAGAGATAGTACTGTCTCCTGACGATATCCTCGTCAGCTTTGATGTGGTCTCTCTGTTCACCAAGGTCCCAGTGCCTGACACCATAACAATAATTGAAGCCTTGGTCCAACATGGACTGAACCCTGATGTACCTGCGCTGGTTAGGCACTGCCTCACCAACACTTATTTTACCTGGAATGGTACCTTCTATAAACAAAACGAGGGTACCCTTATGGGTCCCCCCTTGTCACCAGTGATAGCCAATGTTTTCATGGAGAAGTTTGAATTAGATGCCATCCAGACATCCACCCTTCGTCCTTCCCTGTGGAAGAGATATGTGGATGACACTTTCGTCATTTGGCCACATGGCCTCCCAGCATTGAACCATTTCCTAGACCACATCAATTCCAGACACCCATCCATCAAATTCACCATGGAAGTGGAAAAAGATGGCAAGCTGCCATTTTTGGATGTTCTGTTTGAGAGGAGGCCTGATGGCTCTTTGGGACATTCTGTTTACAGGAAGGCCACCCACACAGATTCCTACTTGAAGCCTGAATCCCACCACCACCCGGCTTAAAATAATTATCTCATCAAAACACTATACCATAGGGCTCATTGCATTTCTGACCAACACCACCTGGCCAGTGAATTTAAACATGTACATCTGGCCCTCAAGATGAACGGATACTCTGACCGTACTATCCTCCAAGCTGTTTCTCCCACCATACAGAAACAAACACCTGATACTCCGCACGTTTCCATACATAGCAGGCGTTACCAAAAAAGATTTCCAAAATTCTAAACAAACACAAGATCCAGGTCCGGTTCAATACAGTACACAAAATCCGTGATCTGATCACATCCGCAAAGGATGTCATTCCTGACTTACAGTACCCCGGTGTTTACAAATTGAGTTGTACCTGCGGTGACTGCTATATCGGGGAAACTAAACGACATTTCTGACCGAATTCGCGAGCACAAATCAAATTTGACACACGGCAGAACAAATTCTTTGGCCATAGCTGATTACTGTTTCAACACAGCAGGTTCTCATGATATTTTTTCTCCGATACCAAAGTACTCTGCAAACCTCCCAGATACTACCAAAGATTTGTCTATGAAGCCATCCAGATACACAAACATAGACTCAACTTCAACCGAGAGGATGGTTTCAAATTGAGCAAACATTAGACAGACGTTATCAGCCAAGTCAAACTTTAGCTACCTTATAATTGTACAGCCATTTCCATTTCTTACAGTTGGCTACGCTTGCATTCAATCACCGCTCGCCATCGCCTCTCCGTCCCCCTCACCCCCCTGCAGCATAACAAAAGGCAGCTAAACTTAGCCCCCCCCCATGGCCCTTCCTGGCTCCTCCCCCCCCCGCCACCTTAACCTGTATATAATCTTGGGTATCTTAGAGCTCTCTTCACTTGATACAGCAATTTTGCTGTGACGGTTTCCACCTGAAGACGGAAGCTTGTGTTGCCTCCGAAACGTCGTGATTAAATTTAGTTGTTTTCATTTATTTTACCTACGTGACTTTACCGAAAAAACCAAAGAGTATGAATCCGTGCAGTCACGAAAGCTTCAAATCCAGAATGAACAAAAGCTGTTTAGGCAGGAGGTGGCTGGGCATGCGGGCGACATGATATAAAAAACATTTATAATTAAAAATAATAAAAGCAAAAAACCCACGACATTTCGATCGCAACACAAGTGATCTTTAGTGCTTACTAACTGTGGTGGTACCTGCTATGATTACAGCAGTGCACACTGTGGTGGTCCCTGCTTTCACTACAGCAGTGCATACTGACTGTGGTGGATCCTTCTTTCACTAAAGCAGTGCATACTGACTGTGGTGGTACCTTCAATAAATCAGTGCAT